CATCATGAGTCATTTGGAAACAGCCACTCTATGCTTTAAACATAGGGGGCGTACATCCGGCTCCCCTTACCCTGCAATGAGTGGGAGCCTTTGAGGCATTGGGGTGATATTTTTGTTGTTGGATATGTGAAGTTGATTGAGATTCAAGTCTTATTTTTATATCTTTTGTACAAGGCCTTTTATTAGTAGGCTTATAGCAAAACACAATGATGTTATGATCTCCTAAGCCATTATGTTATCATGACTTAAGTGATGATGCGAAGGTTTGCAAAGCAAACATGTGAGGTTCAATTCTAGAGACTATATCTAGTTTTTTACACTCCCCCTCATGCCCATGTACAAATCACACGCATCAAGCTTGTTGAAAAGAATATTTTATCCTGGGACCTCTAAGATACTTGTCAAGGTGTGTGAGTTGATTGAATCTGAGACATAGCTAGTGACGATGTGTCAAGATATAATCTTCTCTTACATAAACAGGCAATCCACTTCAAGGTGCTTAGTCGTCTAGTGGTATACTGGATTTGGTGTGATATTGTTGCATTATTGCCACACATTAGTTCCATACTTCAACTCCTAGAGGAGATATTTTATCCATACGGTCTCGCATTCAGCAAGATTCATTGCACAATATTTCGCTTCAACACCTAATCTGGCAACCTCACGTCTTGCTTCTTCAGCTTCCAAGACCATAAGTTTTAACCAATAAAGATACCCTACCCAGAAGTGGATCGTTTTTCTATAGGACAGCCGGTCAGATCAGCATCAGAGCAGTGAATAAAAACCATTAGGCATCCTCTAGGTGGTAGACTGAAACCTAGCACCTAGGCAGTCTTAAGCAAAGATTGATCGGGGCCTATGCAGTCTTAGGTAGGAATAAATCGTAGGTGGCTAAGGATGCCTAGCAACTAAGCAGCATAGATGGTCACCTCTTCTCGCCTAAAACACCACAGGCGATGAGGTGAAGGTCTACTGCTTGGAGAGACGCAAGGTGGGTGAAGTTCAAATTGAGGCTTCCAGGTGTTTGCCTTGCATGCCTGACTTCTGGGCAAGAGGCGTTCGCCTTTGACGCGTGTATGTGATATATATGAGGGTAGCTTTCCAAGTCTTGAGATTGGTTGGTGAATAAGGCTCTTAATGTCAAAGTGGCTATGAAACATTTCGGGTTGGATATTTAGACCCAAAAATGCCTGAAATTCTCATTCTTACAGTTTTGACTTAATTTTCCTTATTTGGTAAAATAAACGCGAAGGACTATTTGTCCTCTTATTTGGAATTTTCTACATATATCATTAATAAACTAAAATCAATCTCTTCTCAATACCCTTGGCCCAAAAATTCTGATCAGTGAGGGCTACAATTTTCATGCTATATTGGCTTCAAATAGACTCCTAAATTAATACTTGGAAAATCCTAATTATCCTTGGACAAAATATACAAAGAAGAAAGCATCCAATATGACATTTGAAATGAAGAGGAAGCCAACCTGGCGAATAGTTAATCAATAGAGACAATACACTGTTCAACAGTGAATTGTCAAGGGTCTTTTGACAAGGAATTTCCTTCCCTATGATGAGCTTAGAGCTTAGCCGACAATGCAACCGTGAAAAGGAAGAAATCCATCATTAATGTCTTGAGTGAATAATAATTTGTCTCTATAATAATATTTCTTGAATCATAGTACCCTTTCTGTATTTCTAAGCGTAGTGGCTGAACTTTTTTGTGGAAAATTAAAATTTGGCCGAATTTTTTTGTTTTCATAACCCATCATTAAGATGACTGGGAATGTTGCATTATAAAAAGGAGTTGATACTTGGAATAAATCAGAAAATGATTTGAGAAATATAAGAGTTTGCTCTTTGAGTGAACCTTGATTTTGAGTGTTCAATTTATATTCCCTTCCTAATCTTTTTTGAAAGCCAAAACAGCATTGCATTTCTTTAAATCAAATGGGAAACAAAGTCAGGGGTGCCTCCCAAACACCACTACGAGACATAGTACTACACGTGAGCGAGTGAGCAGCAGCATTACGCTCACAAACAATGAACGAAAACAAAACAAAATCAAAAGATAAAACCAGTTTCTTACCATAATCAATAAAAGACAAGATTCCAAGCTTCAGGAGTCACCTTGTCACAAAAACATTGACTACCTTCACATTGTCAGAGCATACCTCCACCAGCAATACCTGTCGGCCCTTCAACAGAGAAACCCCTCTTAAAAACCACACTTCTGCTAACAGCAGATCAAATGGGCAATCCATAATTGAACAACACAGCCCCCATTGCAACATCGCCCGACAGAATAAAGAAGGCCGCATAAAAGAACATCTCAGCCCACCGTGCCTACCCAAGCATAATAAAAGCATCCACCTGCAGGTCTAGATCACTAACACCCAGCGGCAATATGGATGCCATGGACAGAGTTCTCCCAATTGGGAGCCAGGGAGAACCTCAAACCAAAGTGTCTTTTCCGTTACAAATAGACTGACCAACCCCTTCCTTGAGAAGGTCCTAAGCCACCAGGATACTCCCCCAACAATAGCCCGGGTAACGCCCTAACGTGGCTTGAGGAAACGAGGTTTTCGGAAAACACCTGGTCTTAAGAGTGAGTAATATCTCTTATAGTCTTATATTTCAACGTAGTACAATCATTCTTCCTACCTATTTTCTGAAATCCTACCTCCATTTAGTCCTTCATATACTGCTTTTTTTCGTAGGCAAATATATATAAGTAGGTTGGACCGAACAATAAACAACGAGGGATGAAAAGTATAAATACCCAAGCCCTGATTGACAAAACATGGGCATATGTCACCCATCTTAACGAAAAACGAATTGGACCAATTCTAGAAACTATGTCTACTCTTCCATAGGAAATATTAACATATATAATCTATATGTTAAGACAAATCAAACAAGATCACACATGACTATATTTAGGCTTACACATTGAGAGAATTTGATGAGTCAAAGTGCTTAGATGAACAGTTCCAAAAGTCAAAACTGGACGAATACTCCGGGACGGAGGGAGTAACTTTCACATGGTGCAAGTAGCAAAAAACATATGGAGTACCTCATAGTTGAACTTGCGCTTGTGTATAGCTTTGAATTTGCGGACATCTAATATTCTAAGTTCATCTTCCTGCACATAACTTAACAATAATAATTTACCGTACAGAAAAGCTGGCGATATATATTGCATGGATAAATTACTATTCAGTTGTGCATACAGGTAAAAACACTAAATGTGAATCTATAGACAAATACTACGGAGTATGTCTAACTTAAGTGTGAAGATCACACTAACAAGCTGAAGATATAATATAGAAAAAAACATTACCCTGTTGCCAACAGCTATATGTGTACCATCAGGTTTATAAGTGATATTTATATTTTCCCCACTTAATTCACATAAATCTCTACATAAAGTGGGAAAAATTGTTTTATTTCAGAGTTCCATGGTTGTTGAAATCGTGAATTCGAAATTTGCCTCATAGAATAGCATGATTCTACGAGTACTATACATGATATAGATCGTTGCTCGAATCGGAAAATTCTTGGATATGATTGGGTGCAAAAGCGTTGTTTGGTCCATGTAGCCGACCCCACCTAGTGGGATAGGGCTTTTGTTGTTGTCGTTGTTGTCGTTGTTGTTTTCATTGTCTGGGATCGTCGAATCGAACGCTAGAATTGTTGGATTGTGGACCGATTCGATCTAAAAGATCTGGTTTTATAAAAAATCTGAAGAAACTTCAAATTTCCATCTCCTGAGGCGTTTAAAGCCACGGACGGCTCGCTAATACTTCCCTCTCCTGAGGCATTCAACGTTGCAGACGGACGCTGATTGAATTTATGAAGAAAAAATCAAATTTTGAAAAGAGACATCTTTATGTCTCCTGCAGCGTGTGGCATTTAAAGTCTATAAAGTCTCCAACAATTTCTTCTTGATATGCTTCCCTGATCGTGCCTTATATTTTTTCTTAATTTTTCATGCATCGAGAAGATTTGTAGAGTACTATTAATACTGTTCAAAATTAGTAGTGCAGTGACAAGTTCTCTACATATCTTCTTGATGCATGAAGAATTAAGAATACATATAAGGCTACCATCAGGGAAGAACATCAAGGCGAGATTGTTGAGATTGGAATCCAAATATTCTGAGTTCTTCCTCAGTTACCACTTACCACTTAGTCTGTATTTCCTTTCAAGCATTTGTTAACTCCAATATTAAGGTTGCAAAGTTATTTCCTTCCCTTGTTGGTTTGGTTATTTCATTTCATGGCTTGGAACCTCACTCCATCAGAAGAGGATTTCTCTGTGGAATATAGACAAGAATTAAAAAGAAACTGAAGACAGGGAAAACTGCCTAAATTTCCAGTCTTTTCTGCTTATCCTCTGATAATTTATTTCTGTGGTTCAAAGAATCACAGGTCTGCACGCTGGGAGGCATTTTGGAAACAGCCTCACTACCTCTCAAGGTAGGGGTAACTGGTAAAGTATGTGTACACCCACCCACCCTTGACCCCATTCATGGGATTTTACTGGGATGTTATTGACGCAAAGAATCCTGATTAGTAACAGTTATCATGTATCAATTAATAACAATTGATTTCAGTTCTTTGGTAGTGACGAAATGAGATAATTATACATCCTGAAATCAGTCATGCCTGAATTCCAGACCATGAACATCTGTTAATGTGCAAGCAGTTGGATTACTTACTGCGAGCATCCCACAATCGAACTGTCTTGTCAAGTGATGCTGTTGCAATTAAATCAGCATGCTTAGGGTCCCAACATAATTGATCAACACTGTCAGTATGGCCTTTTAATTCAATATCCTTTGCCTTGGCCTGCAAAATTACTTCGAGTAACTACGAGAGTATGAATAGGGAATAGAAAACATACTTGATTGTAGGCTCATACCACACAAATAAATACTTCACTTTTAGAAAATAGGATAATTTATACTCCGTAGCATGTATTTTATTCTTCAAGTACCAAAATATGCAAGATGAGACCCTTCGCGTGACTCTTGCCAAGCCGGGACACACTTTGTGCACCAGGTTGTCCTCTTAATCACCAAGTATTAGGAGAAATACAAGTCAATGATACTAGTGTTGGAAAGCAAATAGGAAACTGAAAAATGAAAACCATTTGTTTAATTTACTTTGTCAATCCTCTTTTGTATCAGACTATCAGTTGATTCTAATGCTGCTGGCAAATCTATTTATAGGTATTAAATGAACGGGATATACTGGGTATGATATTATTGTTATTCCTTATATTCAGAATCTATCAATTTGGTATCAGAGCCTTGTTTGAGATGGTAGATACAGATTCTAATCTTATTAATCCGACGGCTCCTTCCGTCAGTATGCCTGTTCCTTTGGCTATCACCGCTGCCCATCCAAAAACTTTGGACATCTTGGCCAACAATGTTGCGGATTTTGAAGGCTTCAGATAGTGCTAAGCTTGACAAAGGCAAGTAACTCTCACGCAGATGATAGCAATGAGGAGTCAAAATCATATCAACGGGTTCAGGGGCAACAATACATCGAATTTAAGTTTCCCGAGTTTAGGGAAGGTGACCGAAGAGGGTGGACACTCAAGGATGAAGGAGCATCCATGCACCTTGACCGTAAAGGGTGGATACTCAAGGATGATGCTTGCCATGTATGTTCGCCTCGCCATACGACTTGAGGAGTTGTGTTTCCAGGAATAGAGTATTAATAGGGTTCGTGGTAAGAATAACTACCAGCTAACTCATATAGAAAAAGAGCAAGGGTCCCATGACATTGCCCGGCAATGTCATGGGATGATCTAGGGGTGCTCCGGTGCCCCCGGTAAACCCCCCCCCCCCACCTCATCCCGACCCGAACACACCCCCCGCCCTCTTCAATTGCACCCCAGAGGTTGATTTTGACTTTGGAGTCAAAATCAATTAAAGGGGGATAGAGAAAAGATGGGAAGAGGAGATTGTTGGAGACATATTGTTCATTTTTAGGAACTTGAAAGCTATGGAAAACTAGATTTTATTTACTTAAATTATACTCCCTCCATCCCTGAGTATTTGTCCACTTTTGACTTTCTTTGGTTAAAATTGGTAAACTTTGACCTCAAATTAAATAAAAATAACATTAGATATTGATACAAAATAGTTTTATTAGATATATTATTTCAAATATTTTCAAAATATTATCTTATCTAATTAATAGATAATATATATTTTATTTAATTATAAGTAAATGGTTGAAAACAGTTGACTGAGAAAAGTCAAAACTGGACAAATATTCAGGGACGGAGGTAGTAGTAACTAAATGAGTGGGGAAGTAGTGGTTGCGCGAACCACTCACTTTATTACTATTGTGGCATGATTGTAATTTCCTAGAATTACTCATTTAATTTTTGTACAACAAGAAAGCCTTGTCCTACTAGGTGGGGTCGACTACATGGATCAAACGACGCCATTGCATCCTATCATGTACCATATCTGCAGTGAGATCATTCACGCTAAAGTCCCCCCTTGACCACTTTGTGTCAAGTCTTCTTAGGTCTACCTCTTCCTCTAGCCACATGTCTATTCACCATTTGATCAACCCTTCTCACTGAATGCTCTATTGGTCTTCTCTTCACATGTCCAAACCACCTAAGATGAATTTCCACCATCTTTTCTACAATAGGTGTCACTCCATCTTTAGTTCTCATATCTTCATTCCTTACTCTATCCATACATGTATGACTGCTCATCCATCGAAATATCTTCATTTCGGCCACACTAACCTTGTCTTCATGTTCATCCTTTGCTGCCCAACACTCTGTTCCATACAATATTGCTCGTCTAATAATTGTCGTACGGTAAAATTTTTCCTTTATTTTTTAAACGTACTTTTTTATCACATATAAAGCTTGAAGCACTCCACCATTTTGATCAACCGGCTGGTATTATGGGCTTAACATCACCGTATATTTCTCCATTGTCTTGAATGATACACCCAATATATTTAAATCCCTTTACCTGTGGTATAGTATTTTCTCATTCACCATGATGTTACTATTTCTCTTTCCATTGCTAAACTTGCACTCCATATACTCTATTTTAGTGCGACTTATACACAAGCCATGCAACTCCAAAGCTTGTCTTCATGAATCCAACTTCCCATTTAAATCCTTTCGTGATTCGCCCGTAACGATGATGTCATCAACAAAAAACATGCACCATGGTGCACGTTCTTGAATATGCTCGGTAAGAACTTCCAATATTAGTGTAAAAAGATGGCTTAACAATGACCCTTCCTACACCTATGGGAAATTCTCCTATTACCCCACTTTGACTTCTCACGCTCGTCGTAGCACCATCGTACATGTCCTTAATCGTACGAATATACGCAATCCTTACTCCTTTTTTCTGTAACACCTTCCATAATACTCTCTTGGCACCCTGTCATATGCCTTTTCCAAATCAATAAAAGCCATGTGTAAATCTTTCTTCTCACTTCGGTACCTCTTTATCATTCTCCATCATACTACTCATTTTATTTTTGTATTTCAGTTTTATATACAAAATCAACAGCATAAAGCAAGGGATGAGGAATCAGAATTATATTTTTATCATTTGGATTTTGGACACTGTGCTTGGGTATTAGAGTTTCTTTAAGTGAGATGCTTGGTTGGTAAGTTTAGATAGAGTGATCGTTATATTCTGTTTTTCTGATTCGGTATCTACCATTACCTTTGGCAGATTGCAAGATCATAGGAGAGTATAACCTCCTCAACAGCAGCCACCTTCATTAAGCCTGTATCAATTGTCACAAGTTTTGGAGAGTCACAAACATAAACCAAACAGAATGTGAATTCGTCTTCAAGAATGTGAATTTGTCTTCAAAGCAGAGTGATAGGAGGTATTGTGGCAATATTCAACCCAAGGAAGCCAATCTACCCAACGGTGTAGCTGATCACCAAGAACACCACAAGGCATCACACCTACATCTCAACTGTCACCACCTCTGTTTGGCTGTCAATTTTAGGGTAATTAATGGCTTGCTCTTCAGGTGATGTGATTGGTCTAATCTGATTGGAATACATTCTCATTTGATCTGCTCTGATCTGATTGTAGTTATGTTTAAAGTTGTTTATAATCTAATCTGATCAGATTCCAATAAGAACAAGTAATATGTAATAAGAATAAGTTGAAAAGAACAAACTCTTACTTTAGAAAAGGACAATGTAGTGTCACTAAGATGGAACAATTCCTTCCTAAAATTCCTTGTAAACACTTTATCGCTGACAATGGTTTCCAAGGGCCCATGGAGTTTAACATAATTAACAAAGAAAAGTTGATCCATCAAGACAGTTGTGTAAGGATGTGGTATGTTAGAGTGTCCCACATTGGAAATTCAAGAGCAAAATAATCGGTATATAAGCTCTTGAGTTGAACTAACTAATCGATTGGATTCAATCTTTTAATGTGGTTCAACCCAAGTGTCTTATTGCCTAATCCAATTGTCCATACTCCATCCTAAATTCTATCATGGTATCAGAGCAAGTTTTGGCCCACCTCGTTTGTCAAGGTGTCTGTCTAGACGTTCATTCCTAGCGACCCGTTAGTCTTTAGCCCAGTTGTCCCTATGAAGTATGTACCCAACGGCAAACACGATTGCTCGCCTCGAAGTCCATACCCAGCGGCTCGTGGTCATTTAAGGTGTTGGCGCTCACAAAAAAACAAGGGAATGAGAGTTTATTTGCAAGTGGTCAACTGGTTAGATTCAAAATGGCCCAGTTGTCCACTTGAGGGGGAGTGTTAGAGTGTCAAGCCACATCGGAAATTCAAGAGCAAAATAATCGGTATATAAGCTCTTGAGTTGAACTAACTAATTGATTTGATTCAATCTTTTAATGTGGTTCAACCCAAGTGTCTTATTGCCTAATCCAGTTGTCCATACTCCATCCTAAATTCTATCATGGTAGAGCCATAAAATGAGCATATTTGGAAAGATGATCAAACACCATCAGGATCAAAAACGATCCATTACACTGATGTATACGGCTATATGCTTTTAAATTCTCTGGGTTAAGTAGCAATTGGTAAGTTCAAATATCATTAACATTGGTAAATTTTAATCATTTTTATATTGAATATTTATATAGTAAGCATCATGCACTCGGTTATCCCTCCTATTTGCTGCACTGATATACTCGTACCATTCTAAGGGCTGGTTGCTATGCTCCACTGTACAGAAACCATAACACTCGCTTCGAAAGGCATGATAGAATATCAAATGCATAGAGAAAAAAAAAAGGAACTATTGATAATAGAAAGTGAAAGCTCAAGACTTTTAAAATATGGAGAATAGAACATGAGTTTTACCATGAAGTTAGAGGAGGGGTGATAGAACAAAGAATATAGAAAAAAATTAAGTATTACAAAACAAGGATCAGGTTATGTCATGGAAATCGACTGATCAACAATTGAAACTAGTCATCTTTTGTGACATTTCATTGAGCACAAAGCCACAAACAAGTTAAAAAATTTGTCAATGATTTTGTTATAGTTGGAGAAGTACATGATAAGGAACTACAAAAGTACTTGGTGAGCAGTGATAAAGAAGGATACGACATAAATTTCATAACATAATCAAGAACATCTGAATATGCAACTAGAAATGAAGGAAAGTGTTAAATTTAGAACTTGTTGCTTTCCTTATCACAATTTTGCTAAACCAAAAACCCACTCTAAACCACTTCACATTCACAATCATCATGAATTAGTTAAACCACACCTAGCCAAGGTGAGATAACATAATGTATTTCGTATGCAAATGATATGGTGTTTGTTCATGTATCCAAAAAGGGATTGTTGTAAAGTTAGAATCGTAATGGCATGTGATAATTCAAAGTGAAACTAAGTATAGGAAGAAAATTAAGCACCATTAAACATAAACATCAAAGTGGGTGAAATTGGGTGGGCTAGATTTATCAGTGTTCCTAATATGTAGGATCTATAATACAAATAACTAAGAAGAGAGACACCAAAACAATTGATGCTAACAAAAATAGGGAGGAATAATAAGAGTTAACACTAGCATCAAGACTTATTGTTAGAGGTGTCTAAGAATTTGTTGGCGCTGCTCTAATAGGAATATTTCAAGATCTGGCCTGTTTTGAATCTTTCTGATCTAATTTATTATGAACATATATCAAAAATTCCTTTGATCGAGTATAATTTTGTCTCAGTCTTTTGTTTAGTCGGGTCTCAATGCTTAGAATTTCAATATCTTTGTTTTAAATATATCACCTAGTCTGGTGAGTGAAACAGCCTAGTGTCTGTCTAGTCCAGTATTAATGTTTCTGATTTGCAGTATGTTTGGTCTAGTTTCAAAACAAGAATACGTACTGATCAAAAATTAAAGTGATGATTAGATAATTTAAGACCAAAAAACATATTATATAGAACCACCACCATTAGACATGTGATACTATATTACTATCTGAATCAAAATGCTGAAATATTAAAAAAAGGTGGTGGTTGCGATACAAGTTATGCAACAACAACCCAATAGAACCTTCTACTAAAGTAGGGTTGTGGAGGGTGTGTGTACGCAGACCTTACTCCTACTTGGATAGTAGAGAGATAAGTATGTTAAAATAGATGTGAATTAATTTTAGGAGTTAAGAAAAAGGGAAACACCGTTAGCAATTAAAAATGATGAAAGTAAGAGAGAACCATGTTCCAAATGATGAAATTGTCCAGGTGGGCGCCCTTCTACTCAAAGTCTTGCGGGGAGGAGGTAAGCCGTGGTATTGACTATTGAGCAACCCCTTGGGTGGAGCTCACATCACTAGATGAAACTGAGAGATAAGAGATCTTTTGGGTCATGTTTCAAATCTACCACGTGAGTACCTGCTGATATAATCCAACGAAGCCTTTGATACAAGGATATGGAAAGTTGGGGTCGGAAGGCTTTGGAAGAACCAGTCTTGTCATGTTGGCATCTCTTTTTTCTTCAGGTTCATGCTCCAACAAAAAAGTGGAGTATTGAAATATCAAAACACTTTCAGGAAGATCGAAGAGATTAAAAAAATTGTCAAGACTCAAGAGTACACATCTTTTGTTCATTTAATGAAAATTTTTACCTCGACTAAAAAAACATTATATTAGACACTAAACAAGCAGAGAGATTCTCCTAAGGTACAAAGAAACATGCAGAGAGATTCACTTAAGGTAAAAAGAAATAAGCAGAGAGATTCTCCTAAGCTACAAAGAAGCAGGCAGAGAGGTTCATTTTTTAAGTTAACTAAAATGAATAAGCTTACATGACCATGGGGATCAATATGCCAAATACGAGCAGTTTGATCAACCGATCCTGAAGCTAGTTTAGTGCCAATGCAATTCCACGCTACAGAATGAACCTTTTGTATTTCATTAAAAAAAAGGAAAAAAGACAGTTCATTCAGGCTTACAAACAAATTGGGTTCGCAAAATTCAGGAGAAAAAGAAAGCGGACAGTTAAGGGTTTTTCCTAAAGATGAATATTTGTAAATGACAGTGAAAATTTTACAATCAGTTCAGTACCTTCTTCTTGTGGCCATGGTATTCTCTGTTATGGAGGTTCTTGAATGGTATTGATTCCGTCATTCTCAGGTATGGCCCTGCTGCGGCTACGCAATCCTCTTCCCGCTCAGATTTTAGGTGCTACACAGGCTTTTGCCCAGGGCCTGTCCCTAGAATTCAATGGCATGGCCGAAACCGAAAAAATGGCCCTAAAGCCACCTAATAAATTAAAGTATATATATTAACTAGTGTTCTATCCCGTGCTTCGCACGGGCTGGGGTAATTATGCTCGTATTTGTTGCATGTAAAAGAGTTTTTGTGGATATCTCTTTAATACCAAATAAAATGAAATATTAATCTAAATGAGAGAAAATATGAACTACTATCTCTTTGAAACTGGATAAAGTTTCAATTTCAATTAAATAAAAACGTAATGTATAATTGTATAAAAATGACTTTATATCATTTATCTTGTTGAGAATTTTTAAAATCTTATTTCATTATACTAATGCGCAATACAAATTGAGAGTAGTTAAAACACATCAGTTGTCTAATTTGAATTGAAATAGTCAAACTGGATAAATAGATTAAGACAAAAGTAGTACAAACAATTGTTTGTAATGTGATAGTAGATAGGTTTACCAAAGTTTCTACTACTACCCCAAGATAGAACTTGTCATGTTAATTTCAATTTAACACCTTTTGTAATGATTACTTAACACCTTTTGTAATGATCATATACCTTATATCGACATCTTTTAAAGAAAATAAAGATACTCTTAATTATATAGGAGTACTTTTGTTCCAAATAATAGTATTTATCCAAAGGATTTCCTTTGATTGATATTGCAATCATGTTCCATGAATTATACTTGCGATAAAGTTCATACAACCCAATATAGGAGCTTTATAAATAAATAAACATGCCCCAAGTAAAAAAATTATGGAGAATTTAATTTATCGTAGAGCCAAACCATGTTTATGTAGGATTCAGTCAAGTCAAGAATATCAAAATCATTGTTTCAGTTGAATAAAAAAAGAAAAGGAAATGAATTTATTTATTTATCATTGTGAGAAATATACAAAAAGTACGTAGTACATAAAAAGGTACAACAATGTCTTTTGAGGAACTCAGGAAGGCTTCCGAAAGAAGCAAAAATAATTTATTATCACAGACCCATATATATAACACTTGAATTGCTAGATGCAACTTGTGTGTTGTAATGCAGTAATGTTTAATTGCTTGCTCATTGTCGATGCTTATACCAACAATGGATAGATCCTCTTTTCCCTCTAAACTGTTCTTGTTCTATTCAATGAGAATTTGTAAATTGAGTATTATACCATGAATATCAGGGTCTTCATGCAATACTCTTCTTAGTGCCTTCTCCAAATTCTTGAAACTGTCAGTAGTTTGTAATTTTGTATAGGGTAAGTGCAAAAAGATGGAAATAGTTACCATAAGAAGTATACAAATTCCATGAGTAGTCCTCGCAGAGAGTTCCCTTGTTCCTCTATTTGTAGAAATAGTACAAAACAATTGACCTACCAACAGGAAAGAGAACAAAGTTGGGGGTAAATAAGGTAGAAATTAAATGAGACATTTGGTAGCACAGTCATACCGTGGCATGCCTCTGCTTCATAGTTCTAGTAATGGACATAATTATCTTGGTAAAGTAGCGTAAATGAGCCCCAACAATGTAATTTTTTAGATATGAAAAAGCCACAAATTGGCCTCTGATGAATTTTGAGATTTCAAATTAAGAGGGACAATGCTAAAAAAAGGTTTCAGGTCCCTTAAGTCCCTTAAGAGTTAACACCAACAGGTGATCCTACACATTCATGTAGCTGCAATAAGGCAAACCAAAAAGTAGATAAGCCTTGCCCTCAATGATAATGATATAAAACCCAAGAAATATTAAGTCTATCACCTCTTCAAATGAGAATAAATCTAAAAAAATTGTAAAAATCTCAGCCATGAAGAAGTTATCCTCAATCCACATGACATAAATAACTAAATGGAGATATTATCACTGAAACTAAAGATCAATTTGCTAATTTGTCTCGGTTTCTTTATACCTTACCTGTTTACGACATGTGAAATGTTACATTAAGGAATTGAATAAAGAGATAAGGTGAAGACTTGACCTTCATATTCTTAGGAATCCAAAGTATTGGGGTCATGCGGAGATGCAATTAAAAACCTGATTTAAAATATTTTCATATCCCCACTTCATACTCTTTTCAGATAAGCACACATACGTTGTAAAATATGTCCACTTCTGTTTTAGAAGAAAAAGATAAATGAAGATTTTTCATTTAACTATTATAAAGTAGAAGACCAAAATGATATACACCAAGGAACATTGAGTTGAATGGGTTGTTGCGAGTGCACCCACCAATGTTTTTCCCTACTGCAATAATGAAGTCATATTACATCATACTCTAGTTGCAATGAATCATAAGCTACCGCCTTTTTCCTAGATATTTAACCTAAAGATGAATTTTTTATACATGGTTAAGTTATATTAGCACATGCATTAGCTGACGTTTACTTGGGCTTTGCATTCTCATTTCTTTAATTTCCATCAATTTGTTGATGTTTTTGTGAGTTCATTTAGATTCACTCAACCAAGTGAATGCAAACACTATGTAAGTTACAGTCAACAAAATTAAAAACGGGCAAATCCAGTGAGACTACTATCAAATCAACCAAGCATTATGCTGAAATAAAGAATCTACTAATAAAAGTGGAAGCTGTACTCCATTTGCAGATAATTAGAAAGGAGAACATGATGCTAAATGGAACAACACATTATAACTTATAAGATAATGAAAAATAATTTAGTGAGTGATAATATTATAGAAAGCATCAACCACTGAAGTCTAAACATAGGTTCAAAATCAAATTCAATTTTTGAAACCTTGTTTATATTTCTTTTCGAGAAATGACTGAACTATTGAGATAAGAAGCACTTAAGGTGTAATTTGTTTTGGTGGAATTAAACTTAGGACAGAAAAGTCGGAGAAAATGCCTTGAAAATGGTTGCAATAAGAAGCATTGGAAAGCAATTTTTTTTAGTGATACAACGATTAGGCCCATAGGAAAAAAATACTCCGTAGTCATTACTCAAACTTCACAAATTCAGAATCTTGAAACAACAAATTTTAAAAGATCTAAAGCCCAATGACACTTCTCTCAATTGAAAAGTCTATTTTTGCTACTAATTGAAAAAACTTCGTGTTACACACCTCAACTCTCCCCCATATTAAATTGATGGTATTCTTATTTCATCTACATATTTGAGTTCATTCTCAACGCCCTTCAAAAAATAAGCCATAATGCAGTGAATGAAAGTGTATAGCAATGACATATATGGAATAAAAGATGTACCAATTACTCAAAATGAAAAACAAAACGAAAACATATTATTGAATTGAAACAGAATAAAATAGGAGTATATATAATCTTACCAAGGTGATATAAATAGAGTTGAAGAAGTAATGGATGAGGGAAAATACCTGGAACACTTAGAACGTGGGAAAAGAAGTGGCTAGGTCCACAAATAAATTAGGAGTTCATTAATTCATGAAAGGTGTTATAGAATGCACTTCTTCTATTCTTTAATGAGCTGTCCATACAAAATAAATTCTGTGAGGAAGGTAAAAGATCGAAGAAAAAGAGTGTTTAGTAAAGTAGGAATGGAGGTAGTAAGAGAATAGGAAGTGACCAATGAATTTGAATTTAGCAACGGAAGGCCAAATTTAGAACACAAATCTTTTACTCAAGTATAGTCAATAAATCAGTACACTAACAAAAGCAAATCAACGGCCATATAGAGTCCAAACACATGGTTATCATTAAAACTTAAAAACATATTATTTTACCTTAATACCACCAAAGTCCAAATTCACAGTAGATAAAAGCCTACATCCAAAGGGTGTCATGTTCAACACAGAGGTTACAATACAGGGGGAAATGTAAATGGAGTATTAAATATAGAACCTGAGTATGAAAAAAGAATTATGGATGGGCCAGCATTGAGACACTTGAATGAGAGTGCAACACAACCTTTAATCAATAAGGAGTTTAGGATTTTCCAGATGATTTGCAAATATTGAAGTATGTTATTTAATACTATTAATGTTGAAGAGGTGTTGTGCAAGAGATGTGCTCACAGTAGCATTAAGGTGGGTAGTGCAAGCCTGTAGACCTTCTGCAAAATACTCAATCGATTAAAATTAGAGTAAATGATTTTAAATCAACCATTTAAAAGCAAATTAAACCAACTAAACTCAAGTTCATTCATTAAAAAGTAAATCTATGAACTCATACTCAAGAAATTGAGTGCAGACTGTTTTACGATGACAAACCTACTATTCAACTTCGGCCTTTAGCCTGAAAAAATTTAAAAAATAGACATAAATCACAATCCAAACAAAAAAATATAAATTTTCATAAGATCAAAGCATCACATGAAATTATAAACGGGGGAAAATTCTAAATCGTGCACAACATGCCTCCCTATCCACTTATTGATGCCACTAACAAAACTGGTAATGTATAAAATCTAAACAATGAAATTAACGTAATAGTATTATAACAAAATAAATGAATGAAAAAATTATATTCTCTCCGTTCCAAAAAACCTTTCCTATTTTGTGTTTTAGTCAAACAATGACACTCTTTGACTGGAGTCTTGACTTGGAGTACTGGTTAGGGCCTCAAGGCTTTTGGGCTTACATAAATATATTTAATGTTTAAAATTTTGGGCCCCAATAATTCATGGGCTCGGTCCGGTCAGGCTGCCTGTTAAGTCACAAAATGTCGTATTTTATTCCCCCATTTCTTAGTACTTTTAAGATATTTGATGAGCATTTTATACCTAAATGAGCATATTTTCTAATATTTAGCATTTTAGGCCATTGTTTACATTTTATACATAAAATGCATGATTTTGAGCATATTTATATTTGACAATTATTTTGGAATATTATTTTCAGTGGCATGAAATTTGTAGATAATACATGGGAGTCCAAAAAAGTCAAAGAAGATATTGAAGTTGAATTTTTGGAGCTTAAAAGTTGGCCCAATCCAAGTTTGGCCCAAAGCTATTCCATCTACCAAATAAATTAAGAGAGGAGGAAGAAGAGCAAATAAAAGAAGAAAAAAAGAGAAATCTCCCCGTGAATGAGAAACGCAGGAGAGAAGAGGCGCAGAGTCCTTCCCCAAATCCAACGCAAATTCCAAGAATCCTACTCCAAATTGAAGATTCCAAACTCCACGATTATAAAAGGAGAC